CTTCAATACTATACCATACACTAGAATGCTGTCTGGTGCTTATATAGCTAGCTATCTTAGTGGAGTATCCTTAGAACACATTCGTGAAAGTGATTCCGTCCCAAAGATAATAACATCTATTATGAGATACCATCTTTACTACACAACTAGAAAGTTAACGGTTAGTAAAAGTGCTATTGATAAGCTTAATGTTAACCTTGACATTGTGAGGAACCATATTCCTATAAAGCAGGAATATATTATTGATGGAAGTGGTTGTACAACTAGTGCGGGACCTCTATCTGATAACGACTTCCTTTCGTTCATAGCTGAAAAAAGTGATGGCTTTACTAAGTTAGGCGTTGAGCTCATCCAGGAAAGTATTGAGTCATATGTGTATGCTATATTGGGATCCCAAGCTAACACAAGGTGGTCAATAGAAGGAAACGGTCCAAAGGCTCTTCAAACGCAACGTAACTTTAGATCTGTTGTAAATGCTACTATTTTACAAAGCAACACAATAATTACAATTAGTAATATGAGGAAAGCTGTGAGGGATACAAACGTGATCCTAAACACTGCTTTATCCCCAGGAATAGTTCTAATTCCATCGAGCTTTATCATTCTATTGACCCCAATACCTGGCTATAATAACATTCTAACCACGGCAACTAATACAATGGAATTCGGTGTGAATACCAAACTAAACTATGTTGGGGAAAAGAAAACCGGCCATTCAAAGAAACAGCACCAAGACACTACACCGGTTCACCACCTTGATGTTATTGATGGACATAAAAGGGTTCCAGGAGGCTCTACGGTCACTAAGCCAAAGGAAGGTTCTACAACTCCTGATACTCAAGATGTTCCCATCGTAAAGCATGATACAACTAGTGCTCATGGGTCTTCAGGAGTTAGCGTTGCTGCTGGAGTTGGTATTGGTGCTGTAATTGTATTCATTCTAATGAAAGTTGCCCTGTAAACATTATGTATTCTATAAAATGGCTCTCTATAGAGGATACAATAAAGGAGTAAATAAAGTTGACCCATCAAGTGGTAGTGTGTTTGATAAGGATGGATTTACCATGAAGGGTGACATTGAGATGGATGGTAATGAGGTGAAAGGTCTGGGTGCACCGACTGATGATACTTCTGCGGTCACGAGGAAGTGGGTAGATGATGAGATAGTTAAACAGGCTGCTGTTACAATTCAACCTGCAGGGTTTACTATGACTGGGGATATTAACATGGGAGGTAATAAGATAACTAATCTTGATAGTCCTACTAATCCAGGTGATGCTGCCAGTAAGAGTTGGGTTGAGGGCAGCCGTGCTAGTTTACCTGGACTTGTTCTTACAAGTGATCTTAATATGTCTACCAATGAAGTAAAAGCTCTGGGAGATCCTACAACTGGAAAGTCTGCTGTTAATAAAGACTGGGTAGTTGGAATGTTAAATAGACCTGTATCAGGACTTGATATTGCTGGGGATATCGATATGAAGGACCATGAGATTAAGAGTCTTAAGGATCCCTCTGAGGATCAGTCTGCTGTCTCAAAAAAATGGGTAACTAACCATGTTAGTGGAAACCCTGAATCATATCTTAAACGGAGTGGTGGTACTATGTCAGGTAAAATTAGTATGGGAGGTAATGAGATAACCAATGTCGGAAACCCTGTAAATACAAGCTCTGCCGCGACTGCTGGCTGGGTTATCAGTGGATTGGGAATGCGTGGGGAAATTGATATGGGAGCAAACAAAATTACTAACCTACGGAATCCTACGGGTGGAGCTGATGCAGCAACGCGTAGCTGGGTAATAAATCATACCACCTTCACTGCACTAAAACTGGACGGTTCAAATGTAATGACTGGTGATCTTCATATGGGAGGTAATGAAATTAAAAATATTGAGGCTCCTAGTGCCGATAAATCTGCTGTTAATAAAAAATGGGTGGAAGATAAGATTAGCGGTGGTAGAAGAAAACGTGAGACTTACAGTGGACTTACTCTGTCTGATGACCTTGATATGGGAAACAATGAGATAATAAAACTAGGTGCTCCTACAACTGATAATTCTGCTGTTTCCAAGAAATGGGTCACTGATCATGTCAGTGGGAGTTCTGTAAGTAGTAGTGGCTTTACTATGACAGGTAATATTGATATGGGTGGACATGAAATTAAGAATGCTGGTGATCCTACTACTGACCGGGCTGTTGTTACAAAGTCATGGTTTAATTTAAATGAAGGAACATTTCTGCGGTTAGATGGAACAGGGTCCCTAAATGTTGGTGGCACTATTAATTTCAGCAATGCACCTAACTGTAACTCCGACCCTGGAAACTCAAACAGTCTTGTAAGGTTGCAGTATCTTAAAACGTACACAAATAACTTACTAAAACTTAGCGGTTCTCGGGCAATGACTGGTGACCTTAAAATGGGTGGAAATGAAATAATAAATGTTGGAGCTCCTACAACTGATAATTCTGCTGTGTCAAAGAAATGGGTCACGGATCATGTCAGTGGGAGTTCTGTAAGTAGTAGTGGCTTTATTATGAGCGGTAATATTGACATGGGTGGTAATACTATTACAGGACTAAATAGTGGGTCAACAGGAGGTTCTAGTGCTGTTTCTTATGGATCTATGACTTCATGGTGCTCACAGTTTCTTAAACGTGATGGTGGCACTTTAGCTAGTAACCTAGATGTTAACAGTTATGAGTTAACAAGGGTTGGAAATCCTACAACTGACGGTTCCGCTGTTAATAAGAAATGGGCAACTGATGAGTTCATGAGTAGTAGAGGTGGATTGGTAAAAGGTGATTTGGATATGGGAGATTCAAGTGGAATTCTCGATCTAAAGGATCCTGTAAATGATAAGGATGCTGTTAACAAACAATGGGTAGAAAAGAATTTCCTAAAACCTGCAACTGGCCTTACTCAAGCAACGGCTGACTTAAGATATGTAAGAATACGGAGACATATACATGCAGAATGGATTTGGGGTTATCGTGGTGTTGCAGTTGCAGCAACAAGGTACTACGCTTTCTGTCAAGATCAGATTCCACCTTCATGGAGAACAGATCCTATTAATAATATGACAGACCTCAATCTTGAATCAATAAATATTAAATCAGACGCCCCAATTTTCTCAACTGTTCTGAATATACCTATAGGACTCATACTATGGGCTACCGTTTGGGAAAAGCAATCTAATGGAAAATTTACACAGGTTAAGAAGGAAATTGTTCTTAATACAATTGACCTAAGAAGGTTGTCCTACACTTGGTTCAATGGAATTTTCACAACTACTGGTGGAAGTACAGCTTGCTACGTTTTCAAGGGTAATAGTATGTTCTATTTAGGAAACCAGGCTGAGTTGGTAGATAACACTCTGGCTTGGTGTATTATAGTTAAACCTGAACACTCAATGCCCACTGGTATGAGTATGGATATGTCATTCTGCTGGTCACTTCGATATTCAGGTTCAGGTAGCTAACATGTGGTTTATCATAAGATAAGATGTCAAGGTGGAGGTCATGCTTCTCCTGCTTGGGTAAGATTTGTGGTTGTCGTAAGAGTTCTAAGAATGGGAAGACTGGTGATATAAATTTTTCCGTATCCAATAATATCAACATTGGAGTAAGCACGCAGAATAAGAAGGATGATTTAGAATTTATTCCAAAATCAGAAAATTACGGTCACCTAAAAATGCTTGAGGAAAAATCAGATATCAAATAATGTAAAAATGGTCTAGAAAAATAATAGATAAAATAATAGGAAAAATGGTCTAGAAAAAATAATAGATAAAATGGTCTAGAAAAATAGATGAAATAATAGGCGGGAAAATGGTCTAGAAAAATATGAGCCTGCGATTGTGGGGGAAAATATGGAAACCGCTGACCGGAAGTTGGGTGTGATCGCGGGCCGAAAAAGTGGTCTAGAACCCTCAGTTCCTATACTACTACTAGAAGTAGACAATTCCCATTATAGATTAATTCTAAAACTAGACAAGGAGATGCAAATAAATCACTACAGCAAGAAAGAGCATACTAAAATTAGTAAAATTGCAAAGTTTGGTTGCGAAATGTTGTAAAATGCGGAAAATATAGTCTTGCAAAGTTCGCAATTTTTGTATACTTTTGTATTGCGTGCGAAATTCCTACCACATTCCTACCAACATTTGGGCCGAAAATGGTAGCAATTTTCGCACGCAATACAAAAGTATACAAAATTTGCAAACTTTGCAAGGCTATATTTTCCGCATTATACAACCAAACTTTGCAAATTTACTAGTTTTAGTATGCTCTTTCTAGCTGTGGTGATTTATTTGCATCTCCTTGCCTAGTTTTCAAATTAGTCTATAATGGGAATTGTCTATTGCAGAAATAATTGCAAGTGTAAATGGGCCTTAACACCCAAACGTAGCTAACTTCCAAATTCCTAGCTAGTAAATGTAGATGAGCAACGATAAGCAATTGAGAAATGCGGGCATTAAACAGTGTTATTAATAGCCTAATGTGAGCTTGTTGTTTCAGTTTCAAATCGCGATTTTACTGAATGTGTATAGAAAACCGTTTTATGTTTGTTGCTATATATCCTGTTTTATGTCTCCGGCTCGCAAGTTATTCTTGTGTTTTTGCTTCTATATATAAACATATAGTAAATTAACTTCACAAAGAGACTTCCCGAATTTTCTGGCTGGCAATGAAAACTGCAGGTTTATTTACAATGGATTACATTACCCGCCTCGTGATTTCAAGCTATTGTTTCAGGTGCACTCAAGCAAATTCGGGATGTCTCTATTGATATCCACATCTACCCTTACATACCCAGAACAGTATTAGGCGTGCGCATCTCAGGAATTATTTTTGAGTTAAACAGCTTTCAAAAAATTATTATGTTTTACAGATATTTTGAAGCTTATTGACAGGCTACATTCACCAGCGTCTTGTTCAGCTTTGTTAATAAAACATCCTTCAACACGCAGTGGAATGTATTACAGCAATCCCCAAGGACTCGGTTCATCGTCATTGGTTCAAGTATACTGTGATATGACGTCAAAGAATGGTGTTGGTGTGACGGTGATTGGACATGACAGCGGATCAAGAACACTTGTGGAGGGATATGATCCTGCAGGTTCTTACAGACGAAAGATTGAATATGATATTTCCCTGGAACAAATTGTTGCCATTATGAAGCAGTCCAAAAGATGCGAGCAGTTTATAAAATATGAATGTTATGGTAGCGTATTTAGGTTCAGTTCTGCAGGTACATATTTTGGTTGGTGAGTATCACGTCAAGGTTCACAGATGAAGTACTGGGGTGGAGCGGCAGTCAACAGTGAAAAATGTGCATGTGGAATGACCAACAGCTGTGCAGGTGGATGGAAATGTAATTGTGACAAGAATGACAATGCATGGCGTGAAGACAGTGGATATCTGACAGACAAGAACACACTGCCTGTTACTGAGCTGAGATTTGGCGATACCGACCCTAGTTTTAACGAGAAAGGGTACCACACACTGGGAAAATTGCGATGTTGGGGTTAGAATAGAAGAGCGGATTTTGAAGGATAATACATAAACTGAAACGTTATCACTTGGCAAAACATACAATAAGTAATATAGAACGCGTCTTTGGTAAAAGTATACAATCAAAAATAGTTTAACACAAAAGTAGAATTTATAGGTCATAATTATTGCTAGCAATATGTGCACCCTGTAAGTGCAGGTCCCTGTCTATTCACTACCTGCACCTGCGATATATTCAAAGTTAGTACTATATCTTAATAATCAATATGGAGCGAGGGCTTCTTATAGATAAAAAATTAAACTTTATATAAACTTTAATAAAAGTTTGTTTGTCAGTCAGTTTAAAGTGGAAGTATAGAGTTTTACAAAAATGTTGCACTAGAGTCTAAATTTAAAAGAATAGAAAGGATAATTGGAATATTGTTTTGTGTCGTTCTTTTATTCGGGGTTTTAGAAAATGCCAACCTTTTTTATGTGTAGACCAATAAGGAAATACATCTTTCTCGTTGCTAAAACTATTCAGTGATACATGTGTATCTCGTCTGACACAACCATAGATATCTTATATACACTAGATAGCGCATCTCTTTTAGTAAAATTGAGCCAAGAATATTCCAGCGGTTACCTCCATTTGAATAGATGGCGGCCATGTTGGAGTTTCCCACTCGCTAATAAACGTTTAAAAAACAACAATACCTTTCATCAATTGAATAGTTTGAAAATGTATTTGGAATAGGTTTAACTGAATGTTTAAGTTCCCTGTTTAAGAAATAGAAAACATACGAGTCTTCTCATTTCACAGGAATATCCTGAGTCTGCAATCACGGCTTCAATTTTTGAATTGCAGAATAATTAGATTCACTATCTAGTGTGTATATAAGATATCTATGGATACAACACATTTACACACTTTGCATATTGCTCACATATGCAAATTAGGCAAAGGCATTAATTAAGCATGCAAATAGCTGATTTTTTAGAAAAAATGTAAGTTTGCGTGAATAGTTAAAGGGCTTAAACTACAGAAAATTGTCTGAAATTTTGTACAGTAATTAAAAATCCAACACATTTTCCATCTATTAACTCACAATATGATTCAGTAAAGCTTCTAAATTTCGTGCGCAAGCCATTTTTTGTTTGTTGGAAAAGACGCACCCCCCCCCCTGGTTCACAAAATTTTGAGTTCGAGAAATATTTTTCATTATTCTACATTATAAGTACCTAAAGAAGCTATACAGCTATTTCAATTAAGGTTGTCCACCAGCAAAGCGGAGGGCGAAAGGCTGCTGGGAATCGCTAACAAATTAATGAATTTTCAATGCGGTTCCCAGCAGCCTTTCGCGCTCGTATTCGACTTTTCCGCTTTGCTCGTGGACAACCTTAATTGAAATAGCTGTATACATCAAAAACTGGATACCAAAAAGCTGTTTTGCGATATTGAGAGCAAATTCATATCTGTTCAGTTTTTTTTATACACCCTGTATATATGGTGTTGTAAGTCAATCGATACAATGTTGATATATACAGAAGAGTTAGGGTTTCGAAGGTTGCGGGTTCAAAGCACCCACTCGAGTAATCCCTCTTCCCAACAAAGAAACACATGTAGACTATATACCTCGATTTATCAATTTACTTGCATGGACATTAACGTGCATGTCACGTCACAAATGTAGCTGAATAACAATGACCCAGCTTGGGAGCACGCTGAAAAACGTGTATCTTTGGAAGTGGACCAGGGAAAATCTTCCTGGTTATTCTGTAGCAGAGTCGACTAGTTAGAATGATCTTTTTCGAATTGCCAAAATAAATCCGCAATAATGAATCAAGTTACGTTATCTTGCACGACCTTATAAAACTTCCAGAACTTGGCCATATAGGATTGTATGTTGTGTGGATAATGTCGAATTATCAATGAAATTTGACATCTCAAGTGTATTTACCTGTATGAATAATTTTTCTTCTTTAAGAGGCTGACTTGGAGGATTAATTAATTTGAAATTCATCATTATCAAACTACACAAAAAAAATGATTTCGAAATTAGAACCCGGTCGAAGGAGAATAAGAGATGATGACTGGGGTTCACAAGCGAGAGTTTGCATGAGAGTTTCCTCAACTCTCGTGCCCTGGTCAAACCGCAAGAACAAGAGTCGCATGAAAGATGACCAGAGATTACCAGTCAAGCAATTAAGCCAAAGCTCACATTAACTCTCATCAAAATTTCAACCATTTGATGAGAGATGATGAGACTTGGCAGTCAAACGAGTTGCAACTCTCATCCTCGTTTGACTGGCGCTTGATAAACCCAAGATATATTTATTATATCGCAAAAATTGATTAACGATTTTTCGTACTTGGTCATGAAATACTGTAGGAAACAATGTCAGTAAATCAAAAACGACGGTACATAGCTAGCATTTCATGAAGTAATATAATAATGAAATTACAAATATTAACTCTTATTTTTTGCTGAAGCATGCAAGGAAATCAATAATCAGTGAACACTCATGCAAATGAGATAACATACTGTAGTCTGCAATTAAATGATGTTTGTCAGGGCCGGTGGTGGAACACCTCCCCCCAGTCATCAGGTAGTAGGCAAAATATTGAATCCCAGTCGGAAAAACATGGATTCGGATAGGAAGGAAAAAAGAAAATAGTCGAGCGGATCCGATTAAAAATTAAGAATGATAGCTAAAATGTGAAGAATTTACGAAAACTAAATTAGGGGAAAATGGAGCGAAAAACAGTGGTTAAACGGAAAAATTTGTGACTCGGCGCAAAACTTGCCTTGATAACTCGGCAAAATTCACTTACACCCATTCAAAGAGATCTATTGCCGCCCTTGTGGGCATGTAGTAAAACACTGACTACAGGAACACTGGAACACCACCTAACCCTAACCCCCAACCCTAACCTCCAACCCTAACCCTAACCCCCAACCCTAACCCCAAACAAAATGGCGGTGTTCCGGTGGTGTTCCGGTAGTCAGTGTTTTACTACATGCCGCCCTTGTGCTTGGTTTTGACCAAAATTGCTTTTTTTGACAAGTTCTCAAGAGGCGTGCACACTAAAACTGAACACAATAGGTGCATGCATTCATTACGTCTCGAGGAGCTGAAGGAAGAAACAGAACTTGCTTGGAGACGAAATTTACAACATGATGTCTGTGAAGATTCTGTTGAAAATCCTGATTTTCTCAGCCTGGCTGAGCTTGGCTTTATCACAAAGCGACAAGGTAGTTGATAAATATAAGTAAAATATATAGTAAAATTTCTTATATTTCTTTTTTTTCAAAATGTTAGCCCAGCAGATTCTCTAGTACCTGCATGCTCATGTATATTACGATTGTGAATTGTATGCATGACACGCGATTTATATAGTAATAAAATATATCTTATTTCTTAATATTCGATCGTATCTTTGCAATTGATGATTCCCCTTATTACGTTTTCGTAGCGCTTTGCATTGTGGTTATAGTGGTATCATTGATATTCAAGATGGCTTATTTTTTGTCCTGACCCGTGTAAGAACTTTTAAAAAAAGCTAGGGTCAGGTGCACGATATCCAACAGCAAAATATTCGCGAAAACATTCAATATTTTCATTCGAGGCCGCTATCTTTATCAGTGATACCACCATAACCACAATGCAAAGCGCTACGAAAACGTAATAAAGGGAATCATCAATTACGATATAAATATGGTTTTATTTATATCGTCAGCTGAAAGCGAGAACTGCCCATGGGATCGATCAAACATATACGTGTCGCATAACAATTCTTCACATGCATGCGTGTTAATCATGGAAGCGTAGCATATATAACAGATAAAAAAGAAACTTTGAAAATGATTTATATACAGGGTGTCCCAAAAATGCCACCTGAACTGAGGAACGTCTCTGAAAATGAGAGAGCAAACAGTAAAAACCGATCCAGTCTACTTTTAGATCAGTGGATAAAATATGCTCTACTTAATAGCCATCCCAACGGAAATACTGTACTATTCATTAACACAATGAAAATGTTAACAAACATGAGATTTTATATAAAGGCACATGTAGTTTTATATATTTGAACTGTATGGACAATATGTACGAGGTCCACATAAGATGACTGAGAAACTGGATATCAATCAAATACATGCATATATGAAATTCTGAGAAGAACTGCTAAATATCCAATGGTTTAACTGGAATCAAAATACGTTAGTTCTAGTACTGTTCAATGTGCACATTATTAACACAGCAAACGTAAAACTAAGTAAATTACACATCTATTACTTTGGAAATGTAAGCTCTGCTGTATTCTGCAGACAATACATATTAACAATGCTCGTGGCAGTCACTCTATTGAGTACTGTATTCGTGTTTTAAGCCATTTAAAACATTGTACAGTAGTCGTGTTTTGTCATATTTGAAATTCTCGTGCTGCGCACTCTAATTTTAAATATGATGAAATATTCCTTTATACCAACGGTTTTCAACTCGTTTTCTCATGCATGTGTCCCCGATTTCACATGATTGAATTACCACGTCCCCTGAACAGAAATTGCCCGCTGAAGTCTATCAAAAACACGAATTTCGAAATAGTTAGTAAAATAGTAAATGATTTAAATTTTAAATAATAGATAGAAAGTCAAGCAAACATGTTTATAGTACAAACTATTGTATTCAACTATTGTATTCAACTATTGTTTTCTCAGTCCTAGACCAGTTTGTGTCCCCTAGGAATTTGCCAAATGTCCCCTCTCGGGGACATGTCCCCCAAGTTGAAAACCGTTGCTTTATACGCATGTTTTAAATAGTACGTCGAAAACAATTGTTCCTTGTTTTGTATATTTACTTGTTTTGTATTTCTCCACTGGTTCAAATTCAGTTTTTGTCTCAAATTGGAGTTAATTTCATCTAAAATAATTTTGCTCAATTTTCCTGATTCGCTTTTAGCGGGATTAATTAGCCTACATTTTGGATTGTTCTCGAAATT